AACGCAGCCGTCCGTTCCACTCTCTTATATGGTTGTGAAACCTGGCCCATCAGGTCGACTGACATGAAGAGACTCGTCACATTCGATCATCGTTGCCTTCGCAGCTTAGCTCATGTCTGGTGTGAACACCGCGTGAGCAATGAGCGTGTTCGACGTCGCGTATTTGGTGCAGGCAGAGCGAGTGAACCGCTCAGCACCATTATATCACGCACCAGACTCCGATGGCTGGGCCACGTGTTGCGCATGCCAGCACACCGACTCCCACGACGTGCATTGTTTGCGCGTTGTGGGTGCGGTTGGAAGAGGAGGAGGGGAGGCCAAGTGATGACTTGGTCGAGAGAAATGAAAACCCTCACTTCAAAGTTGGCGTCGGTTGGTGCATCCCGACTGCCTGGCTGGGGTCCTAAGGACGGTGAACACGTTTGGTTGGACACACTTGCTGATATGGCTCGGAGCCGGCACCAATGGCGTTTGTGTTGTGATTTCCTTTGCCCATCCCTCTCCTGTTTAGTATCCCCCTCCAACCACGATCTCATCTGTTAGGCATAATATGATGCTCTTTTTACGGCAGCCAGCTGTTAGCTCTCCGGAACGATGTCCATCCGTTACTGGGGACTCAGCTGGCGTGCCACTGTTTTTTTCCTTTTATTTTGTATTGCGGCACAATAGCTGAGGTGTATTCCACCTCCAGCTAACGTGTAATGATGATGATGAAATAATTATAGATTCTGGAGATGTTTCGGTGCTGCTATTCCCAACGCTGACATCCCACGACTAGCTTTGTCCAGGTTTGGCCTCATGTGAGACAGCCTGAGCCGAAGTGGAATTCGGTGATTGATAGTTCACGGCTGACGCCTCGGTCACCAGAACACTAAGATCTGTGAGCAATTGGGTCAATATTGGAATACATGTTGTGTGATTAGATTGCGATACACAATCTCAAAGTGGACCGCGATTCACATTGAAGTGAACATTAGCCGTGACCCGGTAGCCAAAGTGGTAGAGGCCTCGGCTACTATTCCAATGGTCATGGCTTCGAGGCCTGCTATCTCCATCTGATGAGATGAAATGACATCGAAACGCGTCGTGATTGTGCAGTGTTTACGGGCGCGCAACACCCAATTTCCATCTGATTTCACTACAGTCCCAGTTATCGCAGTGACTAAGGTTCACTTCAATGCGAATCGCGGTCCACTTTGAGATTGCGCGTCGCAATCCAATCATACAAGATGTATTCCAAAATTGACCTTCCAATTAGTCATTTACCGTTGTGCCAAGCATTGCCCGCCGGGACCCGGTAGCCAAAGTGGTAGGGGCTTCGGCTACTATTCCAATGGTCATGGATTCGAGGCCTGCTATCTCCACCTGATGAGATGAAATGGCATCGAAACGCGTCGTGGTTGTGCAGTGTTTACGGGCGCGCAACACCCAATTTCCATCTGATTTCACTACAGTCCCAGTTATCGCAGTGACTAAGGTTCACTTCAGTGTGAATCGCGGTCCACTTTGAGATTGCGCGTCGCAATCCAATCACACAAGGTGTATTCCAAAATTGACCTTCCAATTAGTCATTTACCGTTGTGCCAAGCATTGCCCGCCGGGACCCGGTAGCCAAAGTGGTAGGGGCTTCGGCTACTATTCCAATGGTCATGGATTCGAGGCCTGCTATCTCCACCTGATGAGGTGAAATGGCATCGAAACGCGTCGTGGTTGTGCAGTGTTTACGGGCGCGCAACACCCAATTTCCATCTGATTTCACTACAGTCCCAGTTATCGCAGTGACTAAGGTTCACTTCAGTGTGAATCGCGGTCCACTTTGAGATTGCGCGTCGCAATCCAATCACACAAGGTGTATTCCAAAATTGACCTTCCAATTAGTCATTTACCGTTGTGCCAAGCATTGCCCGCCGGGACCCGGTAGCCAAAGTGGTAGAGGCTTCGGCTACTATTCCAATGGTCATGGCTTCGAGGCCTACTATCTCCACCTGATGAGATGAAATGACATGGAAACCCGTCGTGGTTGTGCCGTGTTTTCGGGCGAGCAACACCCAATTTCCATCCGTGAGCAATGTTTGGTACAGCGGTAAGGAGTTCAAAGTTGGAGGAGGAGGATGGGTAGGGCTATATCGCATTTAGCTAACAATTCGTGATGGTCGGATACCGTCCTCCATGGCGCAGTTGCATAAGCTGCGGGCTAGTTGGCAAGAGCCACTAGCAGTCATGGGTTCGATCATCCGCAGAGGACCGAAGGATGCGCACCACTGATGAGCCCCAATAGGGCGAAACGTCCGTCTGGTGCTTTTCCGGATAGCTGGTCGACATATCTGAATTGTCGGCTGATTGCGACGAACAAAAATACGTAATCTCTATTGAAACACCGGATCACTTTGAAGTAGACCTCGGTCACCCCGAAATGGAGGTAATTCGGTATTGCTACTCTCAGCGCTGAGACCGCACGATTGCTTTCCTCCTGATTTGAAGTTATCTGTGTAGATAGCATAAGCTGGGGTGGAATTATGCGTTGTTCTTGCGTGACCACCGTGGTCACATAACAATTTACGAAAATTTTATTCTAAGCCTTATATAGTGGTAGCGCTGCGACGTAGCTTTGTCAACATATTAATTATTTATAATATCGCGGTCAGAGATAGTAAAGGATGACGTAACCGAGTGCTAGGCAAGGAGTACGTAGACAAGAAAGGGGTATTGAAAGTAGTTCGGAAGAAAGCGATAGAAAGAGTTCGATGGAGCGACGAGTATTGAAACGTGTTTCGAACTTTCAAAGTGCAAGGTAAAGCAGCAGAGATGGACCAATGAAAATGTGTCACTAGCAATAACACATTTGAAGTGTTTCCTTGATCTATTATGCCGGGTATCTGACTGGCCAATCGTGAACCAATCATCTAGACGTGACTGTGATGGCTATTGCAAAAAATTGGACCAAGAAGTTGAAAAGGTGCAACAGGGAAATGTGGTCCAGTACGTGCAGGATAAAATGAATATGACGGCAGTATTCAAGAACAACAGTCACTGCGGTTGCACCGGCCACATGAGTGGTACACTACCGTTGGTGGTGATGGTGGGATGTGGATGATGTACGTAACTTCAACGTGCACGTCATTGCTAAAAATTGTTGGAACGGCTGCACCAGACATACACAGAGAGGTGGGCGGGCCGTTGCATGACGGAACCACTCTTTGGGGCTAACAACACCACGAAAACAGCAATCTGTCTGCCGTGGCAACGATGAGTAGTAACAAGAAGTTTGAAATTGAGGTGTAGCCATAGGACAGATAGATATTTCGTCAATTTTGTTGCAAACGTCTCATCATCAATCAAGTGTGTTGATGTGTAGCGGCGTGCAGCGATGGGTGCGTAGACGTGAATCGGATAGTCCTGCACGTGTGTTTTTATAGATTACCGTCACTGGTTGTTCAGGTGGTCGTGTTCTGACTGACCAACGAGCAAGAAATCTGTCTCTCCGGTGTCGCTTTATCGTTGCAGAGTGGAGACCATAACAACTATTATCACAGTCGAGTACCTGATGAGTCTAAAGTAAGACAATCCCGGTTGCGCGGAGTCAGTGTTGGCTTGAGTTACACTGAAACCGCGGAAAGTTAAATACTTTGGGTGACTGTGTTATCCAACATGGTGTCAAATTGCGTGAGGTCTGAAGGCGACCAAACTATATCATGGTAAAAAACACCAGTGTTTAAGAGGCTCGCTTTACTACGTGTGATATTAATGGATGGATTCCAAGATCTGTGCTATTTGCGCTTGGAACCGTCAGTTGACAGTCCATTAAAAATTCGAAAGGTCTAGCATTCCAACTCGCAAATAAAATGAGAAGTCGTCTAATCTGGACGTTCGGTTATCTCATGTTATTTTGGAGCGCCAATTCAAAAACCCACTTTTCGTTAACGGTACTCTTTGCTCATGCGGAGATACAAGATATAGTAGCCTGATCCAACGGTCTAGTGTGCTCGGACCAACAGGCAAACCTAGAAGAATGATGCAGCTGAAAAACCGTTTATAATCAGTTACTTGAGGAAACTTATAACACCGGCCGGCCACGTGATAAGATTGAACCTTATGATCGACAACAAATGCGCACTCACTGCCTAAGCACAACAGAATGTAGACGAAGGATAGAGTTCAGGGTTGAGTCTCGGAGCAGCCATACTGTGAGTTTGGATTGCAACATGATATATCTTTCGGGATGTCGGTGATTCACTTGGAAGTAGACCCCGTGGTCATCCCGGTTACTTGGACCGTAGCCAAAGTGGAGAGAGTATGCTGTGTGGCTCGTTCATACACTGCATTCCAAGAGTGAGTTCGTCTTCGTCTGGACACAACAGGTATGGATAGAAGCGCCTATCGCATTCGCATGAGTTAAAATGAGAAGTAAACCGGTTTGCAGCAGTAGAAGACAGTCATAAATAGCCCTACGGGTAATCTTTGGCACGTGGCCAAAACGCCTGCTTAATAATTTTTAGGTCGCGGGTTCGAGCCTGTGCAGATGACACTATGGTTGCGTGGCAGCGAAGTGTTGGTACTGCGTACCGGCGTACTGCTGGTGCCTTTTTATCGCATTCGATGATGTAAGGTTCTCAAGCTCAGCGGAAACGTCGAGAGTCTGAAAATGTGTGAAAACGTTTAGTGATGTGTAGTCGAAAGCAGAGCTGAGGAAGAAGTACACTTACCTTGATTCCATACTTTTCCTTCAGTAGATTGAGTGTTTTACGACGTTGGGCATCACGATCCAATCGGGCTACCAAACGAAGAAAATGCCTTGAGATATAATACAAATGCATCAGGAGGAGGATGGTGAAGTCACGACCGAATCTTAATGTGCGAAAGGCCACGTTGGATAGAGCATCCATCTTCACATTGCATACAGAAAGCGTACTAAAATAAGAGCTACACACTCTACATCGTGTAAGTAACTCGATGTCTCGAAATCGTTTTTGGTTAGCTAAAAGCATCGCAGCTTGTTTACAAAACAAAATAATTTGTAAACTCTGTTACGTGATTCAAGAAAGCGAATATGAGACTCATACTGTAACAAAAACAGATAATTGTGAAGGCCAACCTAGAGTCCAAACAGCTAATAAGCAGTTGGCAACCGGGCCCAAAAGTTAACTCACGGGCAGGTGAATGAGATTAGGTGCCAACCAGAGTGTGATTTGGAAAATCTAGAAACAGTAATACACCAGTACGAGCTCACCCGATAAGATGTCCAAGTCTTTTTCCTCAATGGAGGCTGAATTTTCATGCTCAGCCCCTGCGGCTTCCTCTTTGGAATCGATAGAACGCATGGTAAGTTTTACCAATTCGGAATCACACTGGCCGCAAGTTTCAGGACCGCGGTGTATGTGCACTAACAGGCGAGAGGAGCCAATGCGAAGCACATCACCGTGGCGAAGAGGGAACGGTACGCGCTGATGAAATTAGATAGACGGAAAGTCGCTGCTAGCAAATGTCAGTGATGAAATATTGAAGAAGCTTAAGAGTGTTACATGTGTGGAGAAAACTGTGGTAGAGACCAGACGGTGGAAGTTGCAAGATTTCGCTGGAAATGACGGGTCGTTGAAAGTGGCGCTGGGCAGTTCGGACCTAGAACTGTCACCAATAGAAAGATAACAATTCCAGATATTTCTTAAGCGAAAGTAGAAAGACTGAAACATTTGGGAAGGCGTCCGACAGCTCCTATCAGAGCACTTAAGAAACGTTTAACAAGAGTATGCAGTTCACTAAAGTTACCCAGCTCAATGGACACGAGCAATTACTGGCATCCATAAAGATGTCAAGGAGCATTTATTGATTGAATCGTAAGAGGGGCTCCGGTCGAAAGTGCAGCCCGGACAATGTACAGATAGTACCCACCTGCTGATCAACCATGTAATTTACTATCAAGCTAGCGTAATGTGTAGCACACTGGTCGCGGTAAATCGCTCAACTTCGCCACATGAAAGCACGCCCCGAGAGACAGAAGTGCTGAGCAGAGCTGGAAGGTGAGCTGTGTCTGATGAATGAGGTGAAAGCCAATGTCGATGGGGAACGCAAATTGTCCGCGTTATCGGTAAACATATATTGCCTAATGCAGTAACAGGTGATATTCGGCAACAGCATTTGAGGCCTCATGTTGACCGAAAAGCTTACTTATTGTGTTGATGACTACACTGATAGTTGTAGGCTGCAGGCAGAACACATTAGGTAATTCACCGAGAGTCAGTAATGATGATCACAGTAGGATATTGTTTATATGAACATGGCAAACCCATGGTGACCCACTTGCCATTTATGGAGTGTTTAGTGCTTTCTTTGCTGCCCCTATGATTTTTGACTCTGATCCCATACCCGAATGCCCAAAATCTATAACACCGAGTACACTATGCAATGTCGAACTTTCCCACAACAGTATTTAGAAACTAATAAATAAATTTGTATATTTACCGGCAGACGGTACACGGCCCCATAAGTGGGATCGATCATTTGTATAGTGAATACGTTTCATAATAGTAACGAAAAGTTTATTAATAGAATGTCGGATCATGATTTCTTTTTCCTTGGGTCCTAGACCCGTGCACCTCATATGTAAAAGTTACAGATGTTTGTATCATCAGGAGTAGATAGTAAAGGGAGGGAATACTAGACTGCAAAGACACAAGATTTACAGTCCTCTGCTCTATCAACTGAGCTACCACGGCTGGACTCCGACGGCATCCTTTCAAATACCGTTAGAATGGAAGATCGATTCACCATTATTTTTGTTGAATATGTTCACGCTAAAGTTACAAACTAGCAATTTTTCTGATAAATGGAAAACATCGTTCAGCATCTCATGCCATAAAAACAGCTCGAAACAGAAAGTTAGCAATTATCGACCGACTCATGATCAAGAAAACGGATGGAATTACTTAATTCATTGGACCTGTTTAACATATCTCAACATGGTTTCATCGAAAGAAGTTCCTGCATAATCATGCTTACATTTCGGAATAGACTCCGGTTTTTTAATCAAAATTTGATTTTCGGACATAGAAAAAGCGTTTGACCTTGTACCTCACAAAGCGGTTGTTGAAAAAGGGATAATGCATTGAAGTCCGGAACCCGATTTTAAGAGTTGGATTTCCTCTTAGCAATCGATTTCAAAGTCAATTGCGGTAACAACCACTATTCCTAACGCCCAACCATCAGGGCTGTCCTTCAGGGGACTGCACTTGGCCCATTGAGTGGCAAATCAAGTATTATGTCCTATGGTTGCTCAGTCCTCGAAAGATCAGTCAAACTTAACAATAAAAGTATGTCCATACGGCAGTCTATGTGTGAGCTTGGAATCAGATTTCCGACCAACTTCGCTTTTCTGAACAAGCTCAATACCAAATATTCGGAGCCAGAAAATCCATGGCAAATACATATGAAAAAACTCAAACAGTCTCTGTCAAACTCCAGTTATTAAAAAACCCTTACTCGTCCTATTCTTGGACACTGCAATTTCATCTATGGTGTTGGTTCAGTGACACATCCATCCACCTTGCAAGCAGTTTCACATCGATCCCCTCTGACTACGATGTTTGAAGCAAAACTTGATGCTACTATACAATTCGTTACAGCAGGAAACGTACCTCATAACTGTCTAATTTAGAAATAAGAAAAGATACGCAGAAGAGAGTCTGCAATAAAAAATACACATTACTTGCACCAATGGCTAGAATAATGATGCGCTCAAACTCTTTCCTCCTCCCATAAGCTGCCAACCGCTATCAGGGTATGTGGAAAAACGACATCAATCCACACCAAAATCGGTAGTTTCCTTGATCTTTAAGTGATATTATCCATGTTTTCATCTGACAAATCATCTGATGGTATATGTTGGAAAGCATCAAAAATACTTCAAAACCTCAAAATCGTCGTCCATATACTCTCATGAAAGAGCATGAACACTTCTGTGCATACTGATCTGTTCCTATATTAGAAGCAGTTTCGCGCACTTTCTAGTAATATACGTATAGTGTGATTGTTATTATTATTATTACTGTATACAGGGGGCGGAGGAGAAAGACTGAGGTCCAACGAATGTTATTAAACAAAGACTAATGTGCCGTTGCGTTGGATCGGTTGTTGAACTAGAATTGTTTAGGCTGGTTGCAGCAGGATTCTGCATTTAAGCTCACTGGTCATCTTCACCTCAAATGTTTAACGAAACTGCACTTGGTTGAGCGAAACTTTAAAGCTGCTAAAAGTATGGAGAAGGTGAGTAACATGGCTGCACAGCCCCCCCTGGATAAAAGCTCGGGGATCAGCCACATAATTGGGTAGAATTCCCATGGGGTGTTACGAAGTGTAGAAGTCAATGGCGCCCATGCAGTTGCCGTGTCTATGTCATCGGTTCAGATATAAAAGGTTGCTTATTCCGGCTGAAGTAATCAGACTACTTTTTCGTTTCTGTGGCTCTGAATGGGCGATTATATGGCGACAAGAATCAAGGCAATTGATTTCATCGCGCTTAGCCGCAGTAATCACATATGACGCATTGTCGAAGTGTGGATAGGTTTGACAGAAAGACGGACAACTTTGTGGATGGTAGTATTAGGGTGGTCGCAGTAAGAGTAAGTGATGGCAAGATGGAGCAGGTCTGTGCTGTAGACCTTGTGGTCCACTTGACAGCATCAGACAATCTGCCAGAGCTAGAGCAGATCAAGGTTCGGCATATCACTCACACCAGAAAAATTGTTTGGAAATGGTAGCCAAGAAGAACAAACAAGACTACAGCTACAAGTGTTCCGATTATACGAGTGAACAGATGATCCTGACAATAACTTCAGACTCCTAGAAAATCAAAGACCCCACGCTATTTGATATTGGTTGGTTCTTGATCGTTTAACTTCTGGTTGGACTAGTACAAGGTTACAATAAAATTTAAGTGAAATGAAGTGTGGCAATATTTGTGATTGCGATCCATCAACAACGTTAGTACGATAATCGGAGCAGTTGCCTTCTAGAATTTGGTCGTATTTCAAATCACCCAAAGTTGTATGCTGGATACGAAAGTGTTCAGAAAAAGCGCAAGTGACCGACTTAATTCTTGTAGTTACTTACGCCAAATGGTGTCCGACGATTGGGGTGTCTGGCTCAAAGTACCTGGCTAAGTCTGTTCCTAATTAAGTCCGTCATCTGATACTTCAGGTCTTAACCAAGGCATTTTACCCCAAGCAACATCGACGTTCGTGATTCGTTTCGTTGATTGTAACATTTTCCCGGTTCCAGTTGTCTTCCACTTTAGCGGACTGCTTTTGAGTGCTGACGCTTGCGAGTATTGCACACATCTAATGCAACGCTGTGGTCCGTCCGTTGGAGTTTAGAAAAGAACCTTCCAAGGCCAAGAGCCAATCGAGTGTTTACCAAAGTTGTGACCCATATACTATAGTTCGAAAGTAAAAAAATACCTTGGTACGCCGTACCGATGCTTCGCTGCCAAGCCATCACCAGCAGCTGCCTGCGTGTTAGGAATAGTTCGAGGTCGACTTCGCCAAAGCATGCTCGAATTAGCGGACTGTGAATAACAAGTAAGACGCATGAGTAATTCGGCCACCGTCCGGCTGCTTGAATTCGAATATTACGACTTCTGATCAATACGTTTGGCGCTGTACAGGATGAGCGGCTCGCTGCGCGCAACACCCCGATCTCTAAAAGTGAAGCAGTTAATGTCCAACAATTGGGTTTGTTGCTTAGGTTGCTGGGTGCTTTGTACAGTACCGTGACGTTATCAGGAATTAGAGACAGCGAAGCCTGTGATTCGCTCGAAAGTGCTTGACAGCTATCGTTTTTAGTGTTCCTGTTGTCTGTATCCGAATAAGTGCACAAACCTGAGTTATCAGAACGTGTAGAAAGCTAAAGCCTTCGATACAACCTAGCTCCGGAAGATGTGAGAGTTACGTTGGCTGGTGATAAAAACAGACATTCATGTGGTGAATTTAAAGCATGGCACTTGCACTCAAGCTGACCAATCACATCCAAAGGAGACTATGCTCACTTCGGCTGCTGATGGATTGGTTCGATGTCGACAATCTTCTACAACTTTTCTGATACGATGTTGGTGTTGGAAGCCTTAATGCACCACTACCACCATAGAAGCAGTGAAGTTTGTGTTCACCCGTTTTGCAAAATGGATAGTAGCTTTCTTTCAGAAAGCATGCCCTGGTACAGAGTGTGCTTTGGACCTACAGTTCACATCTGCAACACTGCCGACAGATGAGTCGTGTGAAAGTACCCCACTTCACTGCTAGCGGACTCATTGTGGTTTGCATGAAAAACGTTGTCGAAATGTGGTATTGTAGGTGCGTGCCTTCGAAGGTTCAGTCATTGCTGTATCGAGTTTAAAGTTTACGATCCATCCGGCTTCAGCAATGAGATCCCGCTGTATAAGTGCCGAATCTTCCTCCAACAAACCGAGTATTCCAGAGAGAGGAAAGAGCATCAGCTCCAGATAGGTAAAGAGTTAGTCCTAATTAAAAAAAGCGGAATAGTAAAGATAATGGGGATAATTATCCACATTCATTTTCCAACATGGAGTCTAAATGAGTCGGTTTGCGTGTGACTTAAGACCCCATGAGCCAAAAAACGCATGGGAATCGATGAAGTTAATTACACATAAACTGGTTCACGAACACCATTCTGTTATGAGCTGACAACCATCAATATATGAGAGTGAATCCAATTCCAGATTGATGACGCCTTGACCCCAAGTGTAGATGCTTATATGCTCGTTACTATTCTCCCATATATATATATATATATATATATATATATATATATATATATATATATATATATACAGTCTGTTAACAGACATTGTGCCATCAGAACCATGGCAGAAGAAAAAAGTGAAGAAGATGGGAACACTAATGCAATTAAAAAAATATGAGAAACGATTTTTTTGGTTTTACACACGCCATTTTGTATTGTTTGTATTGTTTTGTGAGTTTTTGTGTGCATCAAAAGGATGGTGAAATTGCAGAACAACATTGACGCCACTGATGTCTGTTGCGGGCCATGACGTCTAATGTTTCCAACCACTGCAATTCAGCATCTCGTGGTCCCCAACCTGGAAGGCGGACTGGTCCGACTGCCGCCAAACTTGAGGCTGTCTTCTTCATACTCCTTCTCCACGTCATCGGCTGTCCACCGCGGCACTTTTTCCAATCGCTCCCTGGGAGTGCAAATAGCGCTCGACGTGGAAGGCGATGGGCTGGCATGCGCAGAACATGCCCGAGCCAACGCATGCGATGTCGGAGAATAACGTCCTGAAGATTGGCACTATTCGTCTCAAGCACGCGGTCCCGCACCTCTGCGTTACTTACGTGATGTTGACACCACACCCGAGCAATCCTTCGTAGACAGCGATTGTCGAATACTGACAGCCGCTTCATATCTTCCGAGCGAATAGGCCATGTCTCACAGCCGTACAAGAGTACTGCACGGACGGAAGCATTGTACAGCCTGCCCTTGAGCTTGAGACTGACATCACGACGACGCCATAGATGTCTCAGTTTGATGAATGCAAGGTGGGCCTTTGCAATCCGTTGTGAGACTTCAACTCCAACACCGGCACCAGCCGTGATGTAACTCCATAGATAAGTAAAGCAAGGGACTTGCTCCAGAACATGTCCAGTAGTGGTGAGCGCGGGTTCAGGCACCTGCCAGTCCTGGAGCAGCGTTTTACATTTTCCCGGAGTGAAGTATAGACCGTACTTACACGCCTCCCTCGCCAAGCGGTCCAAAGCGCTCTGGACGGATTGCGGGTCGTCCCCCAGCAAGGCGATATCATTGGCGTAGTCCAAGTCCGTGAGTCTGTCTCCAGGGAGAAGCTCAACATCACAGTCCTGGACACCTTCCAGTGCTCTTTAGAGAACATCTTCGATGGCGAAATTGAAGAGGAGAGGTGAAATAGGGCAACCTTGGCGAACGCCGCTGGTTACAGCAAATGAAGAGGAGTGTGTACCGTAAGCCCTAACTTTGCCCGACGTGTGACTGTAAAGTACTTTCAGGATGGTTACAAAATTGTCGGGCACACCTTTCTTCAGTAAACAGTTCCACAACGCAGATCTATCTACTGAATCAAATGCCGCTCGGATGTCCAAAAATACTACGATTGTTGGCCGCCGGTGGATGTGACGAAGTTCGAGAACTTGCCGAAGCGTGAAGATTTGGTCGATGCAGTCGCGGCCTGGACGAAATCCGGCTTGCACTTCTCGGGAAAACTCCTCTCTAGTTGTTGAAAGCCTGCCAAGTAGGACCGACACGAAGATTTTGGATGCGACAGAGACTAGGGAGATTCCGCGGTAGTTGCAGCAATCGGCGCGGGAGCCCTTCTTGTGAATCGGAACAATGACCGATTCTCCCCATGAGCTCGGATCATTCTCCTCAGTCCAAACTTTCGTGAACAGCGACAGAATTTCGATGAAAGTACACGCCTGCCATCTTTGAATAGAGCCGGTGATAGGTTGTGGGGACCCGAAGCTTTGTGGCGTTTCAAAGTTTGGATTACATTTCGAATCTCAGCTTCATTTGGGGGCTGTGGAGACAGGCCAAACATCATACATTGGAGCTGGAGGTGTCGCAGGGGGCTGTGTTGGGTGGTTGAATTGAAGAGCGAAATGCTCTGCCCAGCGACCCAATCGCCTATGGTTGGTGATCTTCGTGCCGGCTGTCTCGCGAATCGTCTGGTTGATAGCGTGAAAATTGCAACCAGTGGTCCTGATGATGTAAAACAGACGGCGGAAGTTGCCAGCTGATGCAGCGGATTCCATCTCACCAGCTTGTTTTGACCATCAAGCTTCACGATAAGCGAAGACTTGCTTCCAGCTGTTGCGTAATGAACCGGTGGTGTTCGTTGTACTCTGCGCCAGCAGGAACTGCTCGTCGAGGATCCAGCAATTCTGAGGATCTTCCGGAGAGACAGCATTTTGGGAGTGGAGCGAGTGAGGCCATAGCTGGACAAACCGGCTGACAACAAGGCTTGTTGCAGACTTGACCAGTGTTGATCAACATCCAGAGTGAGAGAGAGAGAGAGCTTTTCGCGAAGCTTTTGTTGATATTCTTTCTTCACCATTGGGTCCTCCAACTTGTAGGTGTTCAGTCCGATGTGTTTTGACCTAGGCGAACCACCAAAACGCATGCAAACAATCGCACACACCATTGCATGATCAGTATCGCCGCATGTTACTATTCTCCCAACTCAAGTTCCATTGAAGAAGATACATCATCAATCATATAGTATATGATAAGAAAGCATTAACAGACAGTACCGATCACAAGTACATTTTGCAACATAAGAACATCAGCAGTGATGGGTCTAGAGGAACCAAGGTTAAACAACGGTGAGATGAAAAAGTAAATAGGAAACCCACCTTTTCCAATGCTTGGCCGTTGATATAAGTACCAGAAGATGACTCTCTGTCAAGCAAGACGTACCGGTCTGCATTCTCCTCGTAGATAACTTCACAGTGTATCTTAAAATAAAACACACAAAGCGTTAATTTCCGAGTGAAGGTGTGAAAAAGTGACAATGATCAGTTAAAAAATTGGCGAAAATAAAAATGGCAAAGGATAAAATAATGAAAGAAGTGCAAATTGAACATTTAGTTGGTAAAAGGTGTGTCATACCAGCAGTGCATAAATGTAGGAAATAATTCATCGTGAATGAAATAAAGGTATTCTAGGGAGTCGAAATACAAAAGAAATGCAGTGGTACTAATCTAAAAATCAACCAAAAGGTGGACTCACGGTACCAACAGCAGGATCGTCAGGAAAGTTAACCGAAGGACAGAAGGTGGGATTGCGGCCAATGCATCCCCAGCCTTTGGATGATTCGTCGCTACTAAGGACAAATACAGTGCCCAACTCAGTGTAGGCGGAAGCCAGGACGACCAAACGCACACCAGGAGGATAAACTATTGGCTTTGCCTCAAGAACTAATTTGTCCGAATCTTGTGACACTTCCGGGGAGTTATGCGTTGCTCCTAGTTGTAAAAAAAGTAGCACATCGATTGAAACGGAATAAAATAGGTATCATATGGAGCAAAAAGCAGACGAAAAGATAACTTACCGCCAATAGATGAGGAGGATGAATTACTTTTACGGCGCTTTCTATGTCTTCTGCGAGCTTCCAGATGGGGAGAATTTTCATTTGATTGAAAGGAATCTAACTGTTTCCGCCCGTGTCTGACCCGATGTTCAGTGCTGTTGTCCGAGTCCGAAGGAGTGGAACTACGACGGGACCGATGAGGACGCTTGTGAACACTACGATCTCTGGCTGACGTTTTACTCTGTCGGGCGTGTAGGACAGCAGAGGATTCGTCGTCGATGATTGAGCCGCGATTACGCCAAACGTGTTCATGTTTCGTGAGGAAGAAAAGAGAAAAAGGAGAAAAATCAGCTGAATGGCCGTAATAGCTACGCGCTTGTCGTATTAGCCATAAGGAAGTCGACGAGTTTGAGACCTCCAATGTACTGTTGCACAGATGTCCAACTCAGGTAGGCTGATCTGGAACAATGGAAAATATCGAGCACAACTTGTAGTGTGTTCAGTGTCGTGAGTGGTAAAAACCCATACGAAGACCAACACATGAAGTATCAACAATATAGGAACTGTACCTTCTCTTCACTAGGAGGCTGCTGAGAAAGCAGAGATGCATACTGAGCCTTCCAACGTGCACTGTCCACTGAAGAATGGTACGTGTATTCACCAGTCTCTGAGTTGTAGCTGTAGTATACGCCACTTTCTGGTTGAAAAAACAGACGATTATCCTAGAAAGTAGGCATCAGATGCATTATGGAATTGTCTGGTTGGAAGAGTATACTGGATCATAATAGTAACCACTGTTCTGGTCAAAATACAGACCAGTGCGCTCATCAAACATATAACCAGTGTGACGTAGAGCAGTTTCAGATGTCTCCCTCAGAGCGTCAGCAATAGATTTGCCTGGAATCAACAAGTGGTAAGGTAACAGCCGGTGCATCACCACTCTCGATTCTAGCCAAATCGCACTTCTCCACATCACCTTCAGAGAGCAAAGATGGGTTACGGGAACTGCGTTCTTATAATCAGTTGGGAATCCAAGATGGGGAATGGAGCATATACCTTGTTCTAGTTGGGCATTGCGAGTCATAAGATCCTGGATAACTGCATCTTTTTCTTTTAACTCTTTCTCAAGCACGTAGATTCGCGTTTCCAGCTCACTTAGCTTTTCAAATACATCAAACTCCATCACATAAAGGTGTCCAGTTAAAAGCTAGAAGGGTACGAAAACAATAATGAATTAGAACCGTGAAATGTTACAGAAAGTGTGAATTTAGGTCAGGCCTCCCAATGTATCGCTTTGTAAGGGACAGAAAAAATGCTGAGGGAAAATTAACGTAGTAAGAGAAACGTAGTGAGCTTTATAGTCAACAATACTTAAAAATATCGGACATCAACAACAGAAAAGCAGCGACAACTAAAAAGCACGTAACAATCAGAGGCGGTAAGGATTAGCACGCAGGTAGAAAGTCAACATCAACATGAGGCTACCACAATACGTCCCGAAAAATAGCATGTATTCAAATTGCAAGTTCGTAATCAGGCCCTCCGATAGACGGACATCTATTCTTTGGTTGTCACTGGTTAGATGGGATCCAGCATACCTAGTAGTGACCAGTGATGGACAAGTACATAGCATGCATGCGGGATAGCAATGGACAACAAAGCGCGCTTCGATGGGATCGGTAGGATTTCTGCTGGATCGAGACCTGTATTCGACTCACGGATCCGAGGCTTAAAGGAACACAAGCCTGCTTGTAGTCCCAGGGCGCGGGTATGCGTATGGGACCGAGCCACCCCCCGCAGTATCCTTGGCCCACACGTGACTGTTGGTGATGGTGTGGCAGCGAAGCGTCGATACTGCGTACCGGCGTAGTACTGATACCACGGATAAAAAGCATCATTATCATAATACACGTCAGCTAGAGGTGGGAAACACCTCAGCTACTGTGCCGCAATACATAAATGAAAAAGGAAAATAAATACAAAAGTTACATGCCAGTTGAGCTACCAGCAACGGATAGGCATCGTCCCGGTAAGCTACCAACTGGCTACTAGGCAAAAAGAAAAAATTATTGTGTTACGCTAAGAAATGAGATCGTAAGTAGAAGGGGAGGCTAAAAGGGATGAGGAGGGACAAATAAATTCACAGCAGGAACGCCACTGAGGCCGGCTCCTACCCATGTCAGCAATTGTATCCAGTCAAACGTGTTCACCGTCTTTTGGACCCCAAACAGGGAGCCGTGACGCTCCAACCGAGGCCAGCACAGAAGTGAGGACCTTCATTCCTCTGGACCAAGTCATCGCTTGGCCACCCCTCCTCTTCTTCCACCCACATCCCCAGTGAGCAAATAACGCACGTCGTGGAAGTCGATGGACTGCCATGCGCAACACGTGGCCCAGCCATCGGAGCCTGGTGTGTGAAATAACGTTGCTCAGCGGTTCAGTTCCTTTTCGTGTGTCGTAAACAAAGCGTCGAACACGCGCGTTACTCACGCGGTGTTCCCACCAGATGTGAGCCAAACTGCGAAGGCACCGATGGTCGAACGTAACTAGCCTCTTCATGTCCGCCGATCTTAGGGGCCAGGTTTCGCAACCGTATAGTAAGGTCGAACGTACCGCTGCATTGTACACTCTACCCTTCAGGACGAGAGTGATGTCGCGCCGCCGCCATAGGTGGCGAAGGTTAGCAAAAGCACTTCGAGCTTTTGCTATACGGTTCGTGATCTCGTCTTCGATCCCACGGGCGCTGATACAACTTCCCAGGTAATTGAATTTCTGAACGACTTCTAGCTGATCCCCACCAAGGGTCAACGCAGGAGGCGATCCCTGCCAATCTTGGAGGAACGCTTTGCACTTCGATGGTGCAAAGCAAAGCCCGAAGCGGCTGACAGCCAGTGCTAATCTGTCCAGCGCGGCTTGGCACGTCTCGGAGCTGTCACAGATGAGGGCAATGTCGTCTGCATACTCCAAGTCAAGAAGTCGTTCTTCTGGGAGTAGCTCCACACCTTCCAAGTCATGTCTTGTAAATGTAAACTCCACGGCTTCGTCAATAGCGAAGTTGAAGAGGAAAGATGACAGCGGGCATCCTTGTCTCACACCGCTGGAGATATTAAAGGGTAGCGACAGCTTGCCGTAAGCCCTCACTCTGCCCGTGCTGCGCGCATATAATGCTTGGATAATATTTACATATTTCTCGGGCACACCTTTCCTGAGTAGACAATTCCAAAGGGCACATCGACCAACCGAATCGAAGGCACCTTTGATGTCGAGGAAGACGACTAGGGTGGGCCGCCAATATGTGTGACGGTGCTCCAACCACTGACGCAAGATGAAGATGTGGTCGATGCAGCCACGACCACGACGAAACCCGGCTTGCTCCTCACGAATCTGGCTTTCACGAGCGCCAGTCAGTCTGTGAAGAATTATGGAGGCGAGTAATTTGGAGGCGATGGAAATCAGACTGATTCCTCTATGGTTGTTGCATTCCGAACGCGAGCCTCCTTTGAAGATGGGAACAATAACGGAGCGGCTCCAGTCGGTTGGGACAGTCTCCTGCTCCCACAGTTTCACTAGTAATTCATGTAAAACATCAATAAGAGCAGAGCCTCCGAATTTGAAGAGAACTGGAGGAAGATCATCTGGTCCCGCGGCTTTGTTCAACTTCAACAATCCGATATCACGTTCGACTTCTGAGCGAGAGGGTGGATCCAAAGAGACAGCCCACGGAGCAGGGCGATCACAGACCGGTGAAGAATCGAACAATTCAAGCCGATTAAATTGCTTTTCAAAATGCTCAGCCCAACGCTCCAAGCGTTTTGATAAATTGTGGATAGACTGTCCACTCTCGTCACGTAGAGTTTCACTAACACCAAGTCTCCTGCTGCCCGTTTCCCGTATCAGACGGAATAACTTACGATGGTTGCCAAGGGCAGCGGCCACTTCCATCTCTGACGCACGGTGAGACCACCGAAATTCGCGGTCTCTCTTCAGGCTAGCATGAAGTCTTGCCCTGAGCTCTTTGCAGGTTTCATCGTGTTCGCTTCCAACCGGAATATGCCGGCAAGCATCGATCAGTTCCAGAGACCGAGAAGAGACCCAATGTCCATGTTCGCTTTTAGACATACCACGTACCACATGAGGATTTGCCTGCTGCTAGTAAGGTCTGGTGAACATGTGACCAGTGACCATCAATTGTCTCCAGTGAGCGGTTGCTCAACTCGCATGTCAGCGTACTTCGATACGCATTCAGAACAGCTGACTTTGTCAGTTGGCTGGTGTCAATGCGCTCATAGCGTCGTCGTGGGCGTCCGCCAAAACGCATCTGCATGTCAGCACATACAAGTGCATGATCGGTGTCCACACATGTGCTTCAAATCGAGCGACAGTTCTGGACGCAGCCTCTCCAGTGGTAACTAATAGCAATGTGATCGATCTGCATCCAAGGCTGGTGCGAGGCTGGTGGGCGCCAAGTCACCCTCCGGCGGGTGCTGTGTCGGAAGTTAGTGCTCGCAAGAAATAAGCGAGCATCTTCACACAAATGAAGTAACCGCTCACCGTTATCATTACGGGAGCATACACCGTGCTGATCGCCCAGATGCATTTCATCAGTAGACAGCTTTCTAACTTGCGTGTTCAAATCCCTAGCCAGCACAACAGTGTCTGTGCTTCTCCTATGCCGAATGAGCTGGGTCAGTTGGCGGTAGAAGTCGTTCTTTACCGAATCATCGCTACAGTTTGTGGGCGCGTAGGCAGCGATGATGAATAGACATCTATTAGTCCCGCGCGACTTCGAAGCTTTAAAAGAACCAGCCAATCGGACCGCACACATCCGGCTACTGATTGGAATCCAATCAACCAGAGCAGCTTCAGCCCTGGGACTCAGGGCACTACCAACACCGGCTTGGCCGGTGCTCGAAGCTGCATCGTCACCGGATAGGCGCAATGAGAAAACACTGCTTACGTCACCTGAAGGGGATCGCAGAGTGAACACAGAGCTCGAGTCTTGCAAGCGGGTCTCCGATAAGCAGCAGATGTCGATCAAGAGCGTCTCCAATGTTCGGGCAAGTGCTGTCTGTTGACCGATCTGCAGTAGTGTGCGTACATTAAGGCATGCCAATCTGAAGGAGGATCGAGGGCTCCAAATGCAAACCGATGAACTGAAATGGACCGCTTGATTGGATATGGGCTTGTCGACAGGAGAGGAGTGACGCTGCGCGTTCACATGTGAGTTGAAATTAGAAGATAAATCCCTAGCAAAGCATGTTGGGGGAGGGCTAAGAATCTGGGGGTTGAAAACTGGGGGATATAAGTGAAGTTGGAAGGGGACGGTAAGAGCGAAAAAGCGTAAGAGGGGGAATAAGAAGACGGGAAGGCTTAAGCAGTAGCATCCAAACCCCTATCCACCCTGCTCGATGCAGCAGATAGGGCACCGTTGATTACCCTCTGCGGTGGCCAGAGCATCAAGAAATTGTTTGAGGAGAAATTCATTGTATTGCGTAGGCAGGATACTGTCAGGTTGCCCAGACCTAGACAGGAGAACGATTAGGGTTCTCAACCAAAGCCTTTGGTTCAAAAACCTGACCGCAAGGCAGCGGGTTTGGCGTTGGGCTAAAAGGAGTCCGTTTTATGGAATAAGGTGCCACCCTCATTCCAACCCCCAACCTGGAGGACCAGGAGGCTGTTTGTCTGGCCTCTAACCATTGACCAATCTGGTATGAGTGGCTCTGAAGGTGCAAAAAAGCACCACCCAACATAGCTCAATGGATCGCTGAGGCACACAAACCATCGTACCACGGTAAGATCCAGTCTCATTGCAATGGACACGGATATAAAGGCTACTGCCAGTCTAGTACGAGTAGATAACATAAGTCAGAGAGTGATAATGTGCTCCAGTAAGTCCATCAGCCGGTTGGTTTTATACCTGACTAAACTGTTAGGAAGCCTTTGATTTATTGGTTGGTTCACTGAGAGGAAATGGTATATTTTGTACTAAAAAACAATAAAGGTGGAATCTAGCAAGAATATGGTATCTGTTCAATCCACCGCAATCAGCCTAATGAGTGCGATACTTGAACAGAATTATGATGAATCTAAGTAGCAAAATTGTAAAACTGAGGTAAAAAGGAGATCAGTAAAAGTAAGAACTCCGGTGGAGCAGCTCATTTGTTTCGCGACCGTACCATGTCGGATAATGTCTTCGGACGCCGAGGTG